TTGGCCAAATCCAGCTGATGCAGAAATTGCCTTTTAGCACACCACACTGTAGTCTTAAGGGGCATTATAATCTGTTAGTTTTTCCTCAGGGTGTCTGAGTGAAGGTGAAGGCTGTTCTGTGGCCATTTTTTTAAGGCAAAAGACTAAGGCTAGGTGCTGACTAAAAGCACAGCCTGGAAAGACAGAAGAGAATTGCTGGTGGTGAAAGCTACGAGGCAATATTAGGGGAGTGGATAGGGATCAAGAAGACAAAGTTGTTGTGATCTTATCCATACCACCTACTGGTAAGGGTCTGTGGAGTGAACAACCCACAGAGCCACACTCAAGATTTGATTCTCAAGTACATAATCTGATTTGCTCCAGAAGACACTTTGAGCATGCACTGTCATTCACCCAGTAGGTATGGCTACATGACCAGGACAGAGTGAACTGAGAAGCCAAGCTTTTTTGGCAAAGCAGATGCACTGAAACAGAAAAGCAAAGAAAGAATGTATCTTTGTGGGACTTTACACCTAATGACTTCAAAGTCAGAGGCAGTTATCCAAATGCCTCTATTGATCCTGTTTCAAGACAAGTAGAATCTCTTTAATACTGTGCTGTCTAGCCCAGCTACAGTATATTAGACAATCAATAGTATTTTATAGGCAGACATGTTCAAAGCAGCACCAGAGACTGTACAGCATCAGCATTTGTATTTGGTTCTCAGAAAAGGGCAATCTTTTAGGCTGCACCCCATGTCATACCCCAGCAGAACATCTGCATCTAGATGATGGAGCCCAGAATCACCACAGAATGGAATTCGGGAAGGAATGCAATACAAAGCAAAAGGGACTGCTGCAGTCAGATGTTGACTTTCTGAGACCTGGTTGTGTTAGAAGGGGAAAGTTCAGTGTTTTTGCTTTTTTTTTTTTTTTAAATTATTATTTTATTTTTAAACAGACAAAATACTGACAGCAAAGAACTACTACTTTTTTTTTCTCTCTCTCTGAACAGTAGGGACATAACTGTCTTAAGCTTGGGATAGTTTGAATATTTTTGAGGACTTCAGTGACTCAACACACTGTGTAGTCACACTTAGGTAGCAACTTCTGACATCTCACTAAAGAATTGTCTTTTGGAGCACTTCAGAAAAAGCTTGACTTCACAGGAACTGATTTTAGCAGTACCTCTCTGAACAGAGTAGCGTAAAAAGGACAGACTTCTTGTTTCAATGTACTAAACAACCCAGTTATCAGATAGTTCACTAACAGAGTAAAAACTCTATTATTCTTTTGGATAGCATGGAGATACGTGGAGTCCTGTGGGATGCCAAAAAGAAATAGAACAGCAGATGAGCCAGCTGATGAACAGATCTTTCCTTGCTATCTGCTTTTTCCATGAGTGCCATATGTAGAACCAAAATCCCTCTTTCTCCATGGAACCACACTGCCCTTGCACACAGGTGTCCTAGCTGAAACTAAAATCTACACATGTGACAAAACATACATTAACATTTGATCCTAGAACCCAAACCATGCCTTGTTTCATCTGAGAAAACTAGAAAAGGGGATGGGGTTTGATGTTTTGAATTTGCAGAATATTTGTGGCCAGAAATAAGCAAAACCTATATAATCTGCAACTTTTAATAAGCTGAAGTTATTGTAAAGCACAGGGGCAGCTGTGAGCGCTACTAACAGATGGGCACCTCTGGGTGATGTTATAGGTATGCGGTCCTGCAGCTCTTTTCAAAGCCACATTTGTACCACAATGAATGATTCACATTCTTTTCAAAGTCTCAGCAGTGCTGAAAGTGGGGAGATTTTTCAAAAGGAGCATGCCTCCAGAACTGTCATTCTTCTCCACTGCCCTCATCAGCCTTGCCCTAAAGGAAGGACTGTTTGGCATCAGGACAGTAAATATTCTCACAATTCAAGATTTTATTTCATCTAATGCCCCAGTCTCAGCACTGGATGAAATGGCTTCAGTGAGGTAACAGAACCACGCAGCCTTTCTTGTTCTTTCCCCTTTAAACTGCTACTCCAAAGGCTACTTCTATGCATTTCAAACTGAGAAATCACCCACTGCTCCATAACAAGAATGCCTAGATTTACAAAACACGTGACTTTGCATTTTTTTTCCTATACTGATGATGAAAAAAATATTGTCTGTACAGTGATTTGAATAACACTGATTAATAATTCTGCTGAACATACAAGGAGAGGCAACAATTACTTTTCTGTATCACTGTGTGAAAATAGTAGGCAAATGATCTTCAAGTATGACTGTACAATTTAATGGGTAGTGTAAAAACAGTTTTCATCATGAAAGTTTTCATCACAAAATTGTTGATCCTTCCCCCATGAATTTTCAGGATCCCTGTTTCAAACAGTACACAATTCATAGATCTTCAGCACTTCTGCAATTCTGCTTTTTGTTATTATTTCACACACAGCAGCCCAAACTGTGAAAAGGATTTCTCATGACAGCTGCTATATGAACACAAGAGAAAATCTGCAAGATCTTAGGAGGAGAGACCAGTTAAATAGACAAAAATAATGAAGGCAATAACCGTCTAAAGGTCACATGGCACAATGGCTGAGATGAAAGTAATACCAAGTCTTCTGCTCCCTAGTCCAAAAGTCATCTATTAAACAATGGCTTCCTTTTCTTTTCTTTTAAAGGAAAACCAAGCAAAATTCATACTGCTCTAACAGAAGGGAATGGTATTTCCTCCTTAACAGTACAGTTACAGAGGAAAGTGTCTGAGGACTTCCCAGGTTAATAACAGGGTGAGGTAACAGACTGAGAATGAAGTATTACTAAAGCTGCCTCTAAGTGCGAGTAACACACTGCACTGGACCTACAGTGGGCTTTGAAAAAAGGACATATTACTCAAAAAGACGACATTCAACTCAATCAAATTAAGTATTTGCTGTCCAGAGATTATATGAGCATATCACTGCAATACTTCATCTCCAGAGGATGTAAAACAACACAGTATATAAGTATTATCATCTTATATCCTGTGGCAGGAGCATTACCAGTGGCTCAAAGTTAGTACATTGACACTTACTGTGATTCCACTCTTGGTTAAGAAGTTACCTGCTTTCCCAGGAGACCTTGCTGTGCAGTGTATTCCCTGTACAACAGCAGCATATTTCTAAACATTTCTTATACGATTAAAAAAATCTGATCAAAATATAGATGTGATTAGATGTATAGAATGGATATCAGAACTTGAATGCATTGAGTAGTAAAAGCTGTATCTATGTACTGAAACACAGACATCTTCAGTGATAATAACACTACAGCTTCAGTGAAGAGAGCTGTATGAAATGCTTCCATGTTGTAAGTGAAGAAACATATAAAATAACAAAATCTACAGCTCAAAGGTTATGTGATGTCAGGACAGGGGTTTGCCTGTACAACCATAATTCAGACTTCATTCTCTGTGATAAAGACTTTATTGGTATGATCTCATATCCTTTTTTTTTTTTTTTTTTCTTCATTTAAACCACAAAAGCATGGTGTTCAACGGGAGACTACCCAGCATTTTTCCCCTCAAGGCATGCCCTTTTTGTTACTGTTTGAATGGTACCCAGACCTTGTACAGATACAGAATTACTATTTTATCCCAGATCTTGCCATGGTAATGGCAAAAATGGCATGATAATCTAGAGGAGAAGCTGAATCTGAAAGGGATATCTTAGATGCCATTAGAGGACTCAGTGGAAAGAACACTCACAAGTAATGCTGAACATAAGGTAGAGAAATGCTTGTAGGCATTTGTTATTCTGCCTGGAGCTGTATGCTCCTTGTATAAGCTAAAGTCAAGGGCAATTAACAGGGTACTGAAAATATTAAAAAATAAAAATAAAAAAATTTTAAATGCTTTGAGTGTGTGCCCAGGGGGGTGAAAAGCAACCAGGAGTGACCACCCTCCTTAAGAGCTCCAAGAGTCTGTGAAGCAGCGCTGCAAATCCCTGCCTTGAGGCTGCAAGGACTCATAACTTGTGAAGGCTTTACAGAGAGCATTTATCCAAGGAAATACAGGAGCCTAACAGAATGAGCTCAGTAGCAAGGAAAGATCAAGGGAAGCCTAAGTTCACCTGGTCTTTATGGAGGGACTCAAACAGCATGCTCAGTTTCACTGTATGTCTTAGTTCCGTGTTAGTTCTTCCAAGGAAAAAGCCTTCTCAGATGGATATTGCTCAGTTGTGTGAGGGGCAACATTTTAGTGGGATGAAATACCTGACAAAGAGTTCTCCGAGGGCCTTAAGACGATAGCAAACTTTTCCATCTTTTACAATACATATTGCATTTCTTTGTAAATATAAGTAGATAGGGATATGTATGTTACTGAGAATGAATGCAAACACATTTTTAGTGAACACCTGAGACTTTGCTCACACAAAAGAACTCCAAACAGCAAAAACAGTTCCTCAGTGTAGCATTCAAATGTATTAACCTCCCTTTTCTTCTTGAAATGCCCTGCTTTAATCATGATATTCCTCCCAATGTCAGTGAACAAAGCACACAACAATTACTGCTTATTCATCTTTAGAGTACAGTCCAGGCTGTGCATCCAATCTATCAAGTTTTCTATTGAGGGAAACAAAACTCTCCTCCACGGAGTCACAATTGTCTATAAAATCCAAGGCCTTATTAAAAAGTATGAAGGTGCTTGAGTTTGTGGTAGAAAAAATACTTAGAAAAATGTTTGCTTTTCTCCAGTTCCAAAAAAAATAACAAGATGAAGGAAAAATATACTTCCTCAGAATGACTGGAACACCTCTGCTGAAATTTCTTGAATCAAGGATTTCCTGAATGACTCCTAAAGAGGTTTCTTAAGAGTTTTACATTAGGTAAACATCCAAGCCAAATAGTAAAAGTTTATGAAATATAAAAGGCGATCTCATCACAGAAAGCATCAAGCAGTATCAAGTTCAGATGGCTTCCTACACTAATAACAGAAATGCTTTTTGATATGGAATTGCAATTCAAAATAAACATGAGCTTACCTGACCAGAAAGTGATGGAGCCCCACATCAAAACTTCTGTAAGGAAAAAGATTAACCATATTTTAATTATTAAAGAACACTACTTTATTGGGTATTATATACTGTATTTCAAAATTATTATCCAAAATAAGTATAACATTTTTGCTTTTGTTTTATGAATGACAAAAGCCACGTATGCAGTTTCCTTTATCTAATGACATGCCATTTACTACATTCACCAAATGGAAAGATTTAGACTCATGTTAAAAAGCTCACCAATCCATTGTTTTAGGATTTCTTCAAGAAAGCAGTAACATTCAGAGCAGAATAACACAAAGGAAGCATAAATATGAATTACTGAAAAAAATTTATGGCATCCTTATGACCATTGAGTCTGCTTGTTTGCTATGCAACACATACATACTACACGGGAAGAGTAGATCTTTTCCTTTGATCTCCTCTGTGCTGCACTAGAAGGCAAGGAATTGCTTTGAATTCTCTCCATGACAGAATAATCGGATATCCCTTATTTCTCCGTCAGATACATAAAACATATTGAGATGTGGGCCTTGCAAGCACGTTCTCACAGCTCTAGTGAGGAAGGCAACTCTGAGGATTTTTGTACACATTAAATCACCCTGAAGGACAAGAATCATGCCTGAAAACCTGGGGACTCACAACACCCGCCTGCAGTTAATATCAGCATTTCTTTTCCTTTTCTGTGCTTCCTCCATTGCTCTGCCAGCTCAGGAGGAATGAGCTTCCCCACCATGTACTAGCAAATCCTTGACACTACAGGAAGGCTGAACATCTGCTGATTTCTGAAATTTTCCTCATGTCTGAAGTATGTTCCATTTTGATGGGACTATCAATATAATCCCAGATTAACGGTGTGCATAATGGCACAACAGGAAAATGAGTCTTATTTTCAGTGCTGAACTTGCTCTGAAACAGGCTTACATTCCGTACACAATCTGAAAACATTTTAGCAAATATTAAGCTCTTGAGCAGCCTGTTCCAAAAAGACTAATCGGTCATCTGAGTTCAACAGGATTTTATTTTAATACTACTGCTTGCAGCGTGCTGCCTTCTACCTGAAGCAGCAAGAGAAATCACCAGATACTGTTCTCAGTGGCATCCTGATAACAGAAGAGAGATAACGAGCTCTAGAAATTATAGACATTAACATGGAGGGAAATTCCACTGAGTCAGCAGGGTGGAGAGGAGGGCAGTGAGTTTCTCTTGTAAAAACTGCCTCAGGATGGAAAAGGCATTCTGCCAGGGACATGAACATGGTCGTCGTTAAACATTTATTTTTACATTCCTTTCTTAAAAGCATTCCCCATTTCATATTATTGTTATATTACTGTGTAGTTCATTACACTGCACAAAGTGCATCCTCTTATCTTTCTGTATTCCTCCTGCTTAGAGGCATACTGTAATTTGGCTCCTACTCTTCACTGAAATATTCTGTGCTGTAAAGGAGAAGTCTTGTGTATCAGAGCTGTCCACAGTCCGTATTCATAACCCTGAAAGCCTTCTGTTCCCAGGACCAAACACCTCGGTATGTTTGTGCTGGGATGGGGAGAAGAGAGCTTGTACAGTTCCAGGGAAGTGTTGCATAATGAATGAAAAGATATCTTAAACATCTTCAGACAAGCTCATCTTTTCAGGTACTGCTGGCTACCTCTGCTGGCAATGACCAAATAGATTTACTGTCTGTTCCTGTGACTGAAGTTTCTGAAGGGGCAGAATAACTACTCAGTTTCTTGAGGGCAGGGATATGGAGTGTAAGAATATCACCATTTCTGACACTGAACTGAGAGTTGAAGGACTTGGCCTAGAATGGCCATGGAAATGGAATGGTCCACCTGACCTGAGAAGATCAGAGCTATAGTAGGTTGGGATGGACAAAGCTGAGACGGAGTGGGTTCAGAGAGGAAGGGAGAAAGCAACAATTGGCTGTAGACTTGTGTGCCATCTTTTCACAACATAATAAACTTCCTTTTAATAAGATTTACTACAGTCCATTATTTCATATTGGCTATCACAATTAAAATACCTCCACAAGATCTTCTGTAAGAATTCAAAATTAACATGCACAGACCCAATTTATTGCAATAAATGAAAAAGGTAGAAAAAAGATCAGAGCCTCACTTGGCAAAAATCAGTGCAGACAAACAGGCCTCGTTATTCCTCAGGTTGATGCTCTACTGATAGACTTCACCCGACTACACAAGATTCTCAATTTTCCACTGTTTAAGTAGTAATATAAAATACAACTACGCTACAAACAACGGAATAACAAGAATATACAGTAGCGTCAGAGTGTGTGTCTACATCTTAAAGATACCTCAGGACAATATAATTGATTATTTCCAAAAGGAAAACCAACAATGCTGAACAATCTCAAACTATAAATGGGAGAACTAGTCACGTTACTAGAGATCCATAAGGCTATGGGCATTGGGTACCTACATTTTTAGGCATCTAACGTAATGAACAGAGACATTCCAAGACAAAAAGACTGAAAAACTAGGATTCTGGGAGGCTGGTTTTGCCAAGACACTACCAACAGACACTTTCAACTGTTCCTCTTACTCATAGTTAAATACATACTGCATTTGAGTCTACAAGAAAGTGACCTGAAAATAAAATGAGACAGCAATGGCAAGAGATCTCATAGATGTAGTTCATCTTTTCAATATCAGATAGAAAAAAAAATCAAATATCAAATAAGCAACTTTAATTTAAAAAAAAAAAAAAGTAGTCAAGGATTAATTATTTCATAATGATCCCTTCAACAGTACCTATCAGCCATGCCAGGATGCCCCTCACAAGTAACTCAGAATTAAGTCTGCCATATAAGCATGAACACCATTGTTCTCTAAAGTGAACTTAACTTGATATTGCAATATAATTTATGATCAGCTTTACTCAGCTTGCTCAATGCTGAACCTCACTGCAAAACACAGGATTTACCTAGTATCCCTTGCACTTCTGTGTGCCCAGTTACAGAAAAAGTAGCTTCACAAATGCTTTCTGAAGTTCTCTAAGTAGCAAAATTTTCCCACAAAAGAAAAGTTTTAATTAAATTCTAAAATGACAAAAGGAAGGACATCCAAAGCAAAATGAGTAAGAAATTATTTTCCGCTTAAATTCTGTAAACTGCTCAAATGTCAGTAACATAATACACTATTTTAATTTTTGGAGATGTAACTGATAAAATCTGGTTTATCAAAATCATAATGTTGGTCATTGAACAGAGCATCTTCAGAATCCTGCCTAGTTAAAGGGGAGATTATTTCACTTTCAGTTCATAATCACGTTACTCGCTGCAGGCAATTTGATAGCTATTTTCTTTACAAAAACATCTCTAACTCGGTTCATCTGAAGGTTTGCATTTTGATTCACAGTTCTGTATCTGTATGCAACTTTAACGCTTTTGTTAAGCACAGAAGTTTTAGTTTTTGATACATTTCAGCAGAAGATTACACATGTAATCCTTCACAATCAAATGCATCTTTTCCCAGCATGTTAACTAGGAATCAGTGACTAACAGTGTATTTATGCTAAACCAGCAAGGACCTTTTCCAAAATATAATCTTTGAAATCTGCCTGCAAGCATACATCTTTGCCCTCAAGATACGGTTTTAAAATGATTTCACTGACGCATGGTTTCTGCTTGGAAAGCTAAAGGCATAATGCAACAAGCTGCCTCCAAATTTGCATGCAGCACAAACCTTAGAGGTTTAAAAAAAAAGTTGTCTTATAGAGAGAAAAGACAGGAAAAGGCAGAAATGCGTTGGTTTGAACCACCATTGACAGGAAAAGCACATTCCCCAAAAATACAATCCTGATGATTCCCAGAAAAAAATACACAAATCCTCTTTTTGTTCCTGGGATGCAAAAAGCATATATATATATATATATATATATATATATATATAATGTGTGTGTGTGTATACATATATGAAAATGAAATGGGCAAAACAGTGACAAGGTCCTGTTTATAGTGCAATTAGGGTATCAGATGAATCAGTTGTTTCCCCCTTGCGTCATGGGTATTTTGCACTCACTCTTAAATTTCCATTTGTCCAGTTTCCCTATAGTTTGTCCTTATTTTGAAATTCTGTGCCTGCCACTTAATCTACAGCTGCCTATTGTAGGCTGGTGCTTACTGATAAAAATCAGGACCAAAGAACAGTTGGGACCTTTACTTGGGAGCTGGTGCATGATTTCCTGGCTACCTACTGTAAATGCAGCACAGGTTAGCAACTCCGGTAGCTCCCAGAAGAGCTGGGGATTGAATCACAGAATCATTAAGGTTGGAAAAGCCCTCCGAGATCATCTGGTCCAACCATCCCCCTACCACCACTATCATCCACTAAACCATATCCCTAAGCACCATGACCAACTTTTCCTTGAACACCTCCAGGGATGGTGACTCCACCACCTCCCTGGGCAACCTGTCCCAGTGCCTGACTGCTCTTTCTGAGAAGAAATGTCTCCTCATTTCCAACCTGAACCTCCCCTGGTGCAACTTGAGGCCATTCCCTCTAGTCATATCGTTAGTTACCTGTGAGAAGAGGCCAACCCCCAGCTCCCCACAGCTTTCATTCAGGCAGTTGCAGAGAGCAATGAGGTCTCCCCTGAGCCTCCTCTTCTCCAGACCAAACACCCCCAGTTCCCTCAGCTGCTCCTCACAGGACTTGTGCTCCAGGCCCTTCATCAGCTTCGTAGCCGTGCTCTGGACATGATCCAGGGCCTCGATGTCCTTCTTGTAGTAAGGGTCCCAAAGCTGAACACAGCACTCAAGGTGCGGCCTCACCAGAGCAGAGTACAGGGGGATGATCACCCCCCGTGATAACAGGCTTTTGTTTCCTGAGCACCACCATCCAAACACCTATTCGGTTCCTCATACACACATATTATACATTATCTGATGGACTGTTTATGGTCATGCTTCCCACAGCACTGGGCCTTTACCTGAGGTCAAAACTCAGATTCCCTAATTGTAGAGCTGTGCAACCCTTTCATATTCAACTTTTAAATCC